AGGACCAAATACAAAAGCAGAGACTTGGTTTCATACCAAATGTAACCTGCTCTGTCTTGTCTATCAGCATGTTGTCAGTGTCCTCTTTGCTCCGCAATGTATTTTTTACTGCTTGAGAACATGGTGTGTGTGGCACCATGGCTTGTCGGACATAACAACAAGGGGGGTGGGACTTTGCCAAGGGTCAATTGTGTCGTGTAAATGTACACTTAGTGTGAGATATCACATGTATCAGGGCAGGAACATCATCATTATGGTCAAACCAAAGTTTTAGTCTTTTGAATGGATTGTTCAGCATCACACTTCTGGGCTTCAGCCACAACTCAGAAGTGATTTATGTCTAAGACGTTACCTTATAGCCAATGAATGTGATGTTGGCTGAGGTCAACATTGTTTAATCCTCAAAGTGATACAGCCATGACTGGGTTTGAGCAAATGTTAGTCTTGATTTTCTGCTGTAAAAGGACTATAATTAAGATAAAAATCAGACCTTCATAGATGAGGCTTTTTTTAAAGTTCCCGCGTGTATTTTCATAAATGTTTGAAGGTTTAACGGTCTCAAATTATGGCATCAGTGCTAGTGTATGGCACACATGCGCTCTTAAATGCTGTGTTGTGGCCTGCTGGAGGATAAAAGTGTTTTAATACTGCATAATTGCATATGACCAAAACAATCCAAAGACAAAAATGTGTGGTGCGTGTTTTTGTGGAAAGAGTAAATTTGTGCATGCACGCAAACTGGCATGAATTTGTCATGGATGACTTCCCGTCCCGACATGGAAACACCCGGCTATGCCGTGCAAAACAGCTGCCTTCTCCATCCTCTATTTTTTAAAAGCATGGATTATATTATGAAATGCATTACTTGCCTCAGCTGATACGCTGTTAAATATCGGTTTATAAATAACAAAGACCAGAACTGTCAGCTGATATAAACAGAGTTTGACATAGCTAGTAAAACAACGTGAAGGTCAGACTACTCGTGTTGGGAGTCACGTGAAAAAGCTGCGTTAAAGGGCAAATGTTGAGGCTGAAAACATTTGCGTTTGTCTCATGATTGGAAAGAATACCTTATGACGGATTCCTAAAATGCCATACTTTTCAGAAAGTTAACTCAAAACCACAACAAACCACCCATGGACAGATCAACATGGGTATCAAATAAAGCATGCATGATCTTCTTTATTTGCTAAGGGTGTTGCCTTGTGTTACCTGGCTCAAGTTCACACATGTGGTTTAAACCAAATTCTGGATTGGATGGATTCAGGTCAGAACTGATAAACAGACATTATCCTTACGAAGGGGCTGAGCCAAGTTAACACCCAACTGTTTGCGATTGTGTCCTAATTGAAGTGAATGCATTATTAATCAGGCTGACTTCATGAAATTGGCAAATGTCTGGTTGTCTCCTCCCAAACAGAACTCCCCCCTAATTTATTTATTTGCTTATTTTATTTTAAAATGACTGGGACATGTTTGTTGGATAATTTCCTGATTACTCAGAGGAGAATTATTATCATGCGTTATCCCTTATTTATTGCTGTATATTGCAGATGTTTATTATTATTCATCGGACATGGTTCAGCTTCATCATGGTTTATTATTGAGTTTCCTTTGCCAGGCATTGGATGAACAGATTATTAGGTAGAGATAGGAAGAATTTCAGAGACAGCAGCTCCCCTCACAACACGACACAAGCTCTCTACGTCTTGCCTTATGCAAAGACACCCTCAGACTCGAGTTTCAAAAGAGCTCACGCCAGACTGACCGGCAAACAGTTAAACATTCTGACGCCAACTTTAATCACCCAGGTTTATTTTTCACAAGGTGTTAGTTTGGTTCAAATCACATGGAGTAACTGACCCTTTGCTATGTTCTGCTGCCATTGGTTACTGTTGTTGGCAAAGACTTTACAGCTTTACAAGCTTTACAGAACATCCCAATCAAATGAAATGGGGATTTGCACACAGTGTTCAGTAGAATGTGCTTATGATTTGACATCAGAAAGCATTTTTATCTTTAGCTTTTCTTAATTTGTTCAATTATTCTGCTATTCATTAAGGAATAACTTCAACTGGAATATTGAGTTTTTTTCTTTTTCCATTCTTCTTTTGTTTTTCTTCCTCCTTCCTCTAGTCATGGAAGCTGAGAGACACCCAAAGCTCCCAGCTCTCTGCATTAAGATGCTTTCAGATGTGACTTTACTGGAGCTCCTCAAACACCCAAGAACATCTGGAGCATTCCTAGTCCAATCCAGCTGACATATTCAGACCCCGCTCGCTATAATACTCACGTTTTTTAACCTGTACATCTGTCCTCTTCTAAAACTCTCAGAAAGATGAAAATGATCCAGATGGTCTAAGGGACTAAAGGGATGTCTAAATCATGTAGATGACAAACCAGGACCTCGTAAATCGTTTCTGTTGATACATTCCCAGGCTATACATTACACTGTTAATTTACTGTGGAACACTCTACAAAATACAAACGCATCTGATTTTTCGATGCTCGGGATGTCTTTGGCATTTATGCTATATCACCTAGTGAAATCTTTTCTCAAACGAAAATCATTTGCAGAGGTCTCAGGTCTGAATGACTTCACCAGAGACAATCTCAACCTCACAAAGACATTACTCAAATCCACACCTGCTGTGAAGACACATAGTCTAAGATGAAGCTAGCTTGATTAGTTCTAACTAATCTGGCTTTAATTTGTTTGCCGAATACTGACTGCCAGCTGTTTAGGATATTCTTATTAATGTCAAACAGAGCATGTTACGTGGCGTTCTTCAGAAAGATGCAAAACCATTCCAGAATGCTTTGAGTCTGAGCTGAGTTTTTCCATGGCACGATCTGCTCTGACACTATTACCAAAGCTTCCCACTGCTTCTTTTCAGCACATAAGACATAGACGGATGACTACACGATGGAATGTGCTGGAAAGACAAGCAGAAAGAATGGAATTACAAATTAGGCCAAAAACATGGATTGAAAGGAATAAGAAAGCTGGAAAGTTTGTAAAAACGTGCGTAATTGTAAGAACAAGAAACAAATGTCCACCACTGATAAATCCAGACAATGTCAAACACTGAGGAACAAAGCATAAATTGGACTCTTATATTTGAGTCAGTGACAAAATGCTCAATATTTAGTCCAGATCTATTTAATTAAAATAAATTAATAACACAAAATGCAGTTTACACCAACAACTTGAATGGTGTAAAATGCTTTTTGGTTTGTAAATTAAAAGTAACTTTGGTACATTGTTGTTTAGTCAAAAATGCCCAGGTTGTATAATTATAATTACTACATGTGAAAAATATATGAAAGAAAACAATAATTTTTGAAAATAGAACTGTGGACATTATATATGTTTTATTTTAAAATAATCAGGTCAAATGGGTTATCTTTATTTTTAACCTTTTACCTTTTGAAAAAGAAAAACAATAATTGTGTATTCAAAAATGAATTTTAATACTTAGTAGTTACACTACATTACCTTTTTGTAGAAAATTTGATCAGAAATGTATGAACCCAACAAAGATGAAAGTTTTAAGAACTTTGTTTCAAAGGGATAGTTCACCCAAAAATGAAATTTTTGTCATTAATTACTCACCCATCGTGGTACTCTCATGAACGCGTGTCAAAGACTGACATGGTGGAGAAAAAATTGTTGTTGTTTTTTTTTTGCACACAAAAAGTATTCTCATTGCTTTCTAAAATTAATGTTGAGCCACTGATGTCACATGGACTATTTTAATGATGTCCTTACTATCTTTCTGGGTCTTGAACGTGCACGTTCATTGAACATTGCATTGCTGTCTATGGAGGGTCAGAAAGCTCTCGGATTTCATCAAAAATATCTTAATTTGTGTTCTGAAGATGAACGAAGGTTTTACAGGTTTGAAAAGACATGAAGGTGAGTAATTAATGACAGAATTTTCATTTTTGGGTGAACTATCCCTTTAAGTTGGTTATTTAAAAGATTACTTACTATTTGGCCGTTTTACACCAACAAAATAGTCAGATCTGTTCAGATCAGAAAGTCATCTTTAAGTAAATGATTTCCCAGAAAGCAGAGCAACTGGTATCCTACACCTGACCATCTAGATGCCGTATGCACTGACACACCGCCTATTCCCTTACTCAACTATATTAAATGTTTGCTGCAGCAGATAAGAGGAAAGCTCTGACATCTGATATGAGACCAGCTCAGCCATTTCCATTAGAATGATCAAAGTCATGGAAACATTATTCTTGAGTTAGCACCCAGAGATAATGTTTCAAGCACATAATCTAAGCTTTATGTCATACTGTGGATATATTAACAACAACAAAAAAACATGTATTAAATGTCACTGTGATATTTAGCACTTCAGATTAAAGCAAGTTTATCACTGCAGACCATTAAACTGACTGCAATAGTGACACATTAAAATTAAACTGCAATTAAACCTGCTAAATCGGTATTGTGCAAGTCTGGTGATCGGGAAAAATATTTTTAACAATTTATCTGAAAAATGTAATTCAACTAGTAGTCTAATGTCATATTTTTAATAACAGTCCAGTGTGTACCGAAAAAGTATTCACTATTTCCTTGATCTGACTTTAGTTTAATCAGATTAAAGGGTTTGACTGTGTCCCAAATTATAAGTAACTTTGCCATTTATGAACTAATCCAAAAATACAAATCTTTCAGAAAATGTCCACATTGTTCAACAAAGTGATGTTAATGAATGTGAAGATTTCTCTGCTAATCAATGAACAAAATACCAATAAAACGCATATCTTTATGTTAGTAAAAGCTTCAGCCAATCCAATTTTGAACACATTGTCAAAGCCAAAGTTGCCCATTCAGAGCTCATGACTGTGGCACAGGAACATAATGAAGGACAAATAGACCCCTCAGTCTGGTTTAGAGCACTCTGATGACCTCACTTGAAGAGGACCCCATCTAAAAGAAAGTGTGCTGATTGGAGTCTGACATGAACCATTCTTACCTTGAAATGACAGGAAGACCCGTGGCTGTGGTGGAAAAAGACCATGGATGCAGGTGACACAGAGGACGAGGGGAAGTAACAACTGCATGCTCGTCCCAAGCAACCAAACCCAGAGCGCTCCTGACCTCCCCATGACTGCTGAGGAGACACCCAGACCAGCCCACCTGCAAAGATAAGGTGAAGGAACTGTTAAGGACAAAAGAGTTGTACTGGGGAGACTTCAAATTTTAAAGTACATGGAGAGCATAAAATATATGCACTTTGAGGGTAGAGGTGGATTACATAAAGGAATAAGACACTTAAAAATCCCATTAATAACAAGTATGTATGCCTTATTTATCAGTTAAATGATTTAAATGTAAATATATTTTAATGTTAGATACCTCTTGAGAAGCAAAGATACGCAAGATATTAAGATATGTTTTCAAAGAATGTATTTTAGTACAAGATTTTGTCTTTTTAAGTACAAGTTAAAACGAGGGGGAAATTCTGTGCGTGGAGTAAGACAAAATAAAAGTATATTGAAGATACAATTTATGAAAGCTATGAAGTCTTGTTTTAAGAATTATTAGATATTTTTACTTGGAGGATATATATGGCATTTACAATAATTCTCTTACAATGTACGTCTATGGGGCAAGCCATTACACCTGGATAAACGTTCAAATTCACACTGTTTCAAATATACAATCATGCGAGTTAACAGACTCTTATTAACAGACGATATAAGACTATTAAGCCTACATGCTCAGAGTTATACTATGTTTTTTCCTAATTTTTAACTCCTGTCATGATCATGTAAAGAGACAAGTGGCAAATCACAAGAATTACGTTGGTAAGCTCATTTGACTTGTAAAGTAGCTGTAAAAAAGGTCACTTTGTAAAACCTCAAATAATGCACATGTTGTATGAAAAAAATTTACATAACCGCTTAAAAATGCAAGCTTCATTTAGCTTCAATTTCTTGCCCCGTAGACTTCCATTATAAGTGCATTACAGCACATGCATTTTTACAAACGAAGACCCAGTGTGGTAATTGACATCATGCTGCAGATTTTGATAAAGCTCAACTTTTATCGAACCCACAACATTCCTTTTAAAAGTTCAACATTTTTTGCATGTGAGACATTAGCCACTTTCTGTGTGAAAAAATGGCTTTGATATAGTGCTAAATCAACGGTGTATTAAAACCAGCCAGTTAAAATACATATTTCAACGCTTATATCATAACACTCATGCCTTGCTATCCATGAAAGTATTTTCCTTAAAGGCCTACTGTGAGTCTTAGTGCTGAGAAAGTGTCATGTAGTTAATGCATTTAGTCATGATATCAGCCAGTGCTGTATAAACAATGGTTCCCGTCCAGCCAGAGTCGATATTTTACCTTTACAGGAATGTCAGTGTAGGGGTAGCTCAAAGAAATGGATGCTTTTATTTCTAACAAAATAATGAATGGAAACTTCCCTGTTTCTTTCCTCTCTATTTTGCTATGGGACAACAAAAGTTCAATAATACATGGGGAGAGGTTTGATTTCCTGTGGAAGAACTCTTGCTTTATGCTCCAGGCAGAACAGACAGCCTTCTCTGACCAGGACACTCTTGGAAAATAAGAATACATGCGGTTCATAATTATGTATTAATGATATGTTTGTGTTGTAGCAGAGAGAGTGCAGAAGGACAAAGAACAGAGTAAGAATAGCACAGTCTCAATGCTCATGTCTTATACATGAATCATGTGAAAGATTGATAGGAACTTTGTACAAGACATCTACAGTGCATGTCTGACTCATTGAGGTATGAGCACACTGCACAGAGTGTGTTCACAGTGAACAGCAATGCAGGAAAACACCACTTAAGGTGCTGTTTGCACAGTTCAAATGCACTTCGGGTTGTATGTAATCATCTGCTATATGGATGATCTTTGACGCGCTTCATTGGTTTTTCAGCACCTTACGCCATGAGCACCACATTTTTACGAAGCCGTGTCATATCAAAAGTTTTTTTTCGTTTTATGTAAAGAGAAAGTTCACCAAAATTCTGTCATTTACTCACCCTCGTCACAATAAATTTGTGTGATTTTAGTTATTTGATGGTAACTTTATAGTACCGCCACACTAATGCAAGAACATATTATGTACAACAGGACCGCATGAGTTCGTATGCTTGTGTAGAATATGTTTATAAGTGAGAGTGTGTTTGCCTGAGTGTTTGTGATGAGGAGAATAAATAAGTCTCAATGGTGTTTTTTATTAGTTATGAGTGCATATTTACAAGGGTGCGCATGTGTATACATGTGCGTGTGTTGTTTGAGCATATGATAAACTGCAGTGAGCTGAAATGTCTTTGGCAGCATGTATTGGAGAGAAGCTCTTAGGCTGGGTGGAGGCTACCGCTCTCTGGACAGTAATGGCTTTCTACTGCTGGTCAGGGCCTGCCAGACATATATACAGCTGCGAAAGTCATCATGGGCCATCATAGATCCATCACTCAGCCAAAACTAAGCATGAGCTGATGTTCAAGCTTCTATGATCACAATGCTTAAACGAGACATAATCCCTCATTAATTATGTGTCTAATGACCATGCTTCTGATTCTGATTGGTCAGTCCCATTAATAACCCATTAAGGTATAATTCAGTGATCAAATTTTTTTTTTCTATAATGACAGCTAAACGGTACATTTCTCCAGGGCTACTTTTATATCTCTTGCATCACTCCGTGGTCTCTCTATTATTTTTACTTCCAACACAAATTAGAATAGCTACATACCGAAATCTTACGACTTGAAACGGTTAACTACCGATTGGCCTTGGAGCACTTTAGTATTATGTTTATGGTGAGCAATAAACATTTGATAGATGTAGAATTCATCTTTCTAGTTCATCTTTCTAGAAACTGTTGAGTCTCCAGTTAAAGCAAGAAAATAAATAAATAAATAACATACTTAATTGAGAATTAGTTTACTGAGAAATTAACTTTATTGCATATATTATTTTTATTATATTATTATTATATGTAATAATAAGGTATAATATTATTACTATTAATATTATTAATTATTATTAATAATAAAAAATAATGTTAAAATATATAGAACATAACTACTGTAATATGTTGTAATGGAGTATTATTTATTGTTAATCATTTCAGTTATAGGTAAGATTTTGGACCGGTCATTGCTTGTTACATTGCGGTTGGTTAACTAACTAAGGCCCTGTCCACACGAATGTGGTTATTTTTAAAACCGCAGCTTTTTCTTCTCGGTTAGGCCGTTCGTTCACACGCAAACACAGCACCAGGTCACTGAAACTGCACATTTTTGAAAACGCCTGCCAGGGTGAAGATTTTCAAAAACTCCGGTTGCAGTGTTATCGTGTAGACAGCGAAACCGGAGTTTTTAGCTTGTGACGTCGGCGCCTGCGCTGTTATCTCCGCCTACTGGAAACTTTTTCAGGCTTCTGATTGGCCAACATGGCTTTACGGTTGAGATTATATCGCCACCTGTTGGTTTGGCATGCTCTTGACAGTGCTTCATAGCATGCGTTTGCGTTTTCATCTGGACGGAGATTTTTTTTTAAACGGAAGAAGGAAAAACTCTGTTTATAAAAATACCCATGTACATGTGGACATGGCCTAACTAACTAACTAAAATTTAATTTAATATAAATAAAAAAAATGTTTGCTTTATTGCATCATGGCTGGTTAGCACAAGTAGTCCTATTAAACTTTATGTTAGCACCTCTCACGTTTCTGGAGGAAATGTAAAGTCTATGACATTTGGCTGAATTGTTTAAAATTTCACTGACATTTCCCCATTCCTAATGAATTCTGTCATGAGGTGATTTCTGACTGGCTTTTAACCACAACACGATCCAAGCTCGATCACATTGTCATCTGAGAAACTCAAACGTCTATCAAAGCTGTCATAATGTGCGTTCATACCGCTTCAGCTCGGAGCACAGCAGCCTGGAAACGTATTACGAGCGGTTTATCTTCAAGCTTATCGTCTTGTGTTTGTCATGGCTATCTGCGTAATGAGTTTTCCATCTTTCTCTTTATGAAAGTGTCAGTCAAAACCAATTATTGCTCACGAGGAATATAACAGCCACCTTCAACTAAGAACTGGCTCATCTAAAATAGGTTAAACAGATGGAAGGAAATTAAGTGCCTTTTGTGATGTTCTAAAACAATGCTATGGAAATTCCATTATACAGTATGAAAGTTGATTTGTAGCTCTACTTGCCTGTGCAAAACTGCCATGAAGGTGTTCTTGGTGGTCGCCAGAGCATTGCTATGTGTTTGCTAGTCTCTGTGATATTCCAGTCTTTGTATGTTTCAGGTTTCTCCTTTAAAATAAGTCGGTGAGATTTTGTTTGTCAATTTTATTAGGGCTGCAAAACGATTAATCGCGATTAATCGCATCCAAAATAAAAGTTTTTGTTTACATAATATATGTGTGTATACTGTGTACATTTATTATGTATATATCAATACACACACTTACAGTATATATTTCAAAAATATTTACGTGTAGATATTTATATTCATATAATTTATATTATAAATATATTTAAAATATAAACATAACATATTTTTCTTAAATATATACATGCATGTGTGTGTATTTTATATACATAATAAATATACACAGTACACACATATATTATGTAAACAAAAACTTTTATTTTGGATGCGATTCATCGCGATTAATTGTTTGACAGCACTAAAATACACATATATATGAATGTATTTTTACAAAATATTTGTATGTATTTGTATGTAAACACTTGTATATAATTCATATTATATATAAATATAAATATTTTACATATAAATCTATCATATTTTTCCTTAATATATACATGTATGTGTGTGTATTTATATATACATAATAAATCCACACAGTACACACACATATAGTATGTAAACATAAACTTTTATTTTGAATCGATTAATCACGACTAATCGTTTTGCAGCCCTAAATTTTATCATCCGTCAGGTGAAATTTGTCGCTTACTTGCAACTCACATTAACCTTTGTTCAGTGAATTTTTGCTAGCGAAATCCAGTCATTTCAATAAGAATCCATGAGTTCTGAGTGAGGCAGAAAGATTTTCCAGTGCAGATTTTGCAATGGGTTCAAGTTGGTCACACAAAATTACTGCGTTGACCAACAGAAAGCTGTTTGGTTTGAAAGTGACTTCTGTGTGAGCTGTGCTTCATACATTGCTACGCTATTGACAATAGACAATGGACCTTTTTCACTCATGAATATGAATGTGATCACACCTTTTGCAATAAAAGCAAACTTTTACAACAAATTGCCAAATCATATCTGTATCACAAACTGAGAAGTACTGGAGAAGTAATGTGCCAAAGTTTAATGTTAGAGATTAAAATCTTAAAAAATAAATAAATAAATAGAAAACATCATATTTTAGTTGTAATTTGGTATATTTAGTACATTTTATAAGAGCTGCCCTTTTTTTAAAGAGAGATGCCCGTCACTATACCACACCCTGTCATTCACAGACTCATACTCACACAATACCAGGCATGCACTCACTACCACAATGTGACGGCAGTGAAAGTCCCCAGTCAATACTGCATTTTGTATTAGACCAAATCCCAGATACTATCTTTAGGGCATACTTATATAATAATAACATCACTGTCTTAAGTCTCAAACTCCCTAGACTCATTCACACTCACTGCTGTCCTGTCTGTGAGACACACAGCACACATTCCCCAATGTCTCTACCTATAAAAAAAACCGCTCAGGACGCACAAAATACATACCAGTGATCAAATCGAGACAACTAGACAATAGCTCTTTTTCACAATATCTAATAAAGAAAATTACAAATAGAACATTAGGTAAGAAATCAGATTTTGTTCCAAAACACATCTATGAAATTTATATCATCTATTTTAGCTTCTGAGAAACATTTTTGAACATCATGAAGTCTTAAAAGAATTCCTTATTGGGGTTTTTTTTTTGGTAAAAAACAAAGATCAGAAATAACAATATATATGAGTGTCTATTTCTAAAATAAACATATTTTTTTAATATAGACTCTTCTCTCAGTGGTTGAAGCATGAGGTCTTATGATTCCCTGTCTCTGGTGGGCGTCTGCACCTGTTAGCCTGAGCCTGGAGTCCCCCCTCCCCTAAATCTGTCCCGTTCGGTCCACACAGGAGCCCATCTGCCCCTAACGGGACTCACCTTCTGAGGCTTCCCAGCCGTGCTGTCCTCACTGAGCAGGGAGTGGGTGAGTGCTGTAGTCTCAGACGTAGTGTTGCGTGGACTGCCCCAGCTAGAGTGAAGCGAGGTGTTATTCCAACCGACTGCGGGACAGGGAAGGAGAGAGGTTGAGAAGATTGAGAGAGAGAAGGGTGGACTGGTTTCTTATTACACTCCTCTCCTCTTGAGCCCCCCTCCTCTTTTCTTTCCCCTCCTCTCCTCTCTCTCTCTCTCTCTCTCTCTCTACAAGTCACGGAACAGATATTCCAGACCTCTGAGTCTGACTCCGCTTGCACAGTGAGCAGCAGCAGCAGTCCAGGAGACGGGGCCAGAGCTCCAGAGTCACATTCTGCTTATTGAGGCCTCTTTAGATCTATCAGCGAATTTGCTTCATTTACATAAAATGACAGCACAACTCGGCAGGTGAAATTAAAAAAGAAATATTATTGATATTTTAATAATTTTTATATAATTTAACAGTTTTCTGAAAAATATTTTCAAATGTAATTTAGTCCTGTAATGTTGAGCAGTCATTAGCCTACTCCAGTCTTCAGTGTCACATGATCCTTCGGGATCTTTTTGATATGATGATTTGGTGTACAAGAAACATTTCTTATTATTATCAATGTTGAAAATAGTTAATTTAATAGCTCCTTATTATTTTTGTGGAAACAATTAATAAATTACAAATAAATATAAACTGCTGATGAGCTAAAAACTGATTTACTATCTATAAAGTATAAGACAGAAATTTAAGCCATTTTAACTTTTGAGAAGCATTTTTGTCACATTATCAGGTAATACGATAATTTGTCATAATGTCTTTAAAAAATATATAAAATAGAATAAAATAAGTATTTAACATTTAAGACCATTTACAGTAACTAAAAGTACCAATTCATTTCTGTTACCTGTTAACTGACAATATACAGATAAAATAGATTAATTTAATTCCCAATGACATCAAAAAAAGTTTTTTTTCTCTCTCCTGTTTAAAATTGATCTAAAAGTTCAAAATAATTTAAAAGCAATCATAAAATGAACCCCAACAGCGTGATCAGGATCAGGCAGCCTATTATTTTGCAATCCTATCTGGATACACAATTATATGGTTAGTAGCTTTTTATTATTTGCATTTAACATCAGAACAACCCTGCGGATAATTTGAGGCACCTTGTTCAGAACCACCGGATTAAACTATCATCCTGCCATTAATATAAAGCACCATTAGTCAACAGAAAATGTCTCCATACACACATCCACATCCCAGATTAACTGTCCAAGATTCCAGTTGCAAAGGGAGTGCAGGGAGCTGGACACGCTGCAGCCAATTTTGCAAACCATATTGTGCAGACTTTAGCAAGGAAAGTCAGAATTGCCCTCACTACCGCAATTCCACTGCCAAGTTATTAATTACAGATGGTGAAAGCTGGGTCTGTATAATGTGAATGATAGCCATATGTTCAATGGGATTACAAAGAGCCCATATACAGTACTCTAAATTAAATGCATGACAGTGACAGTGGCCCCAAAAAGAATTTGGACACTTAAGTCTCTTAAAATCGTGCCTTGTTTTGCTTCCAAATGCCACTTGGTTTCAAATTGTGTGTCTAATGTAGTGACCTTCATGCATTTTTGGATGACTTAAGTTTCAAACTTTAGCAGATAAAAAAGTAAATAGGATGCATGTACCAGTCAAAACAAACAAAAGGATGGCCAATTGATTAGAGAAGGCAATTTTTAATTCCC